GCAGGGCCGCCGCCCGCCAGACCGGGGGCTGAGGGCCCCGTCCTGCCTGGCCTTCAGCACTGCCAGGGACGCGGCGTCCGCAGCCTCTCTGGGCAGCCTGTGCCAGCGCCTCGCCATCCTCAGAGTAAAGAATCTCCCCTCCTTTAGTTTAAAACCATTCCCCCTTGTCCTATCGCTACTGGCCCTGCTAAAAAGTCTGTCCCCATCTTTCTTATCAGCCCCCTATAAGCACTGAAAGGCTGCAATCAGGTCTCCCCGCAGCCTCCTCCTCTCCAGGCTGAGCACCCCCAGCTCTCAGCCTGTCCCCACAGCAGAGCTGTTCCAGCCTCTGACCATTTTGGTGGCCTCCCCTGGCCCCGCTCCAACAGCTCCATGTCCTTCCCGTGCTGAGGACCCCCGAGCTGGACGCAGGGCTCCAGGGGGTCTCCCCAGAGCGGGGCAGAGGGGCAGAATCCCCTCCCTCACCCTGCTGCCCACGCTGCGGGGGATGCGGCCCAGGAGACGCTTGGCTTTCTGGGCTGTGAGCGCACGTTGCCGGCTCATGGCCGGCTTTTCATCCCCCAGCACCCCCAAGTCCCTCTCCTCAGGGCTGCTCTCCACCCCTCCATCCCCCAGCCTGTCCTGACACCGGGGATCGCCCCCACCCAGGTGCAGGACCCTGCCCTTGGCCTTGTTGAACCCCCTGAGGTTCACACGGGCCCCCCTCTCCAGCCTGCCCAGGTCCCTCTGGATGCCATCCCGTCCCTCGGGCGTGTCTGCTGCACCCCTCAGCCTGGTGTCATCTGCAAACTTGCTGAGGGTGCACTCGATCCCGCTGGCTGTGTCGCTGATGAAGATATTGAACAGCACTGGCCCCAGTACGGACCCCTGAGGGACACCGCTCGTCACTGGTCTCCACCTGGACACAGAGCCATCGACCACAACTCTCTGGCTGAGAACGAACTTAACTCACCCCTCTTATTGCAGAATCAGAGCATCGGGTCCTTTTTGGCTAGGGCGGGTTTTATTTGGCTCTGTCCCTCAGTGCTACCTCAGCTGCAGCTTACAAATGCACTGAGCTCAAATACACGTACGATGCTGCTATTCCCTCAAGAAAACATTACACCCAAAACAATATTAAAGAGTAGAAATTTGGATAATTGAAATTGCACAGACAAATGGGCAGGGGGAGGGAGAATCACAGCTTTAAATACATTTATTAGTCATGCATCAGCAGCACTAGGACAAGTCCCATGCAGCATCGTTGCAGCAAAATCCACCCCAGGCCTCCTTGTTAGGGTGCTGCTTTGTAACGAACCGTGACCTGCACATCCAGCCTTATCGTATTTATTTTTCACAAATAGGGCTGGTCTTTTGAAATTTCCCACTTCTTAATTGCTGGTCCTGGTGTCACCGGTTTTTTCTCAGCTGTTGTCACTGCAGAGCCTGAACTGAGGTAGAAGAAGGAAGAAAGAAGAAGAGGCTTTAATAACACCACAAAAACCAGATTCGGATTTAATCAGCAGTACGGGTTTTATCACAGAATCATAGAATTGTTTAGCTTGGAAAAGCCCCTTAAGATCCCCAAGTCCAACCGCTAACCCAGCACTGCCAAGGCCACCACTAACCCACGTCCCTAAGCACCACATCTCCCCGGCTTTTAAATCCCTCCAGGGATGGGGACTCAGCCCCTACCCTGGACGGCCTGGTCCAATGCTTGACAACCCTTTTGGTGAAGAACTTTTTCTAATATCAAACGTAA